TATCTGTATATGTGCATGCTGTAAACCACATATTTCATATTTTTTAAAAATTTTAAGATGAAAAAATTTAAAAATACAATGAATCGATTTTCAAGGCCAAGAAAATCAATACAGAAAGGACAGTCTTTTTAGCAAATGGTGCTGGAACAAGATATAAATACAGAAAAAAAAAAACCCTCAATTCCTACCATTACATCCATGAAAATCTGCAATGGATTATAGCCATAAATGTAACATAAGAGAATATCTTTGCAACCTTAGGGTAGGCAAAGATTTCTTAGGCAGGATAAAAAAAAAAAAAGCACTAACCATAAATGACAAACTTGATAAAGTGAACCTGACTGACATTAAAAACATCTGCACATCAAAAGGCACCCTTGAGAAAATGAAAATCCAAACCAAAGATAAGGAAAATGTTATTTTACTTATAAATATATGTATATATATGACATTTTTATCAAATACATATATGTAGGGGCACCTGGGTGGCTCAGTTGTTAAGCGTCTGCCTTCGGCTCAGGTCATGATCCCAGGCTCCTGGGATCGAGTCCCACATCGGGCTCCCTGCTCGGCGGGAAGCCTGCTTCTCCCTCTCCCACTCCCCCTGCTTGTGTTCTCTCTCTCGCTATGTCTCTCTCTCTGTCAAATAAATAAAATCTTAAAAAAAAATACCTATATGTATATATATGTGTATATATGATGGCAGACTTGTATCCAGAATATATAAACAATTCCTACAACTCAATAATAAAAAGAAAACAAGTCAATACAGAATAGGCTAAAGTCTTAAACATACATTTTCACAAAAGAACATACAAATAGATAATAAACATATGAAAAAGTTCTCAATCATTAATCATCAGGGAAATGCAAAATTAAAACCACAAAAACATGCAATTTCACACCTACCAGAAAGGCTAAAATTAGAATGACTGGAAATACCAAGTGTTGAGGAAAATGTGGAACTGGAGATAATATACTGCTGCTGGGGGGAGTGTAAAAATGACACAAGAACTTCGGAAAACTTTTTGGGAAACTGTTCTAAAGTTAAAAATACCCTAAGCTTATGACTCAGAAATCCCACTCCTACTATATATTTACCGAAGAAAAATGAAAATATGCTCATAAAACTAGTTGTATGAGAATGTTCATGTAGTTCTATTCACAACAGCCCCAAACTGGAAGCACTGTAAACGTCACGCAAGTGAATGGATAAATAAGTTGTGGCTTATTCATCCAATGGAATTCTACTCAACAACAGAAAAGGAACAAACATGCCAAAATATACGTATCTCAAATACATTATGTTGATGAAAGTAGTCCCAGATGAGTTCATATTCTATGACTCCATTTAAATGTAGTTTCAGAACTACATTTCCAAACTAGAGTGATAAAAATGAGTACATAGTGGGTTGGGCAGGGAGGATGGGATTGGATAGAGAAACACAGTAAATTTTTGGGAAGAGTGAAAATGCTCTATGTCTTGATTGGGGTGGTGGTTGTCACATGGATGTTTACATGTATCAAAACTTAACAGCTACTCACTTAAAATCAGTGCATTTTAATATATGTACATTTTATCTCAAAAATATAAAAAATGGAATAAAATTAAGATACTATGAGAAAGGAAAAATTTAAAATGAGTGGTTGGAAGTTAAATGATTACCAAGTTATATAGAAATGTTGGAAAATAAAGTTGAGACAACTGCTCAGAATATGGAACAAAAAGCAAATAGATAAAAACATAAGAAAAAAGATAATAAGACCTAATGAATCAAACCAAGAACCCAAGAACCACCTTACAGGAGTTTCAAAAAGAAAACAGAGAAAAATAAAGGAGAATAAATTATGAAAAACAGAATAGGAGAAAATTCCCCACAGCTGAAGGGAAATGTGTACTTCAAATTAAAAAGGCTTATGGTATTAAGGAGGATAAATGAAAATACCCACACTGAGACATTTTATCCTAGCTCCTTTCAATGAGTTCATTGCAAGACGAATAAACACACAAGACATGTCATCATAAATTTTCAAAGCATCATGCAAAACTAAAATTTTTCAATCACTCCAGAGAGAAAACAAATAGTTCAGGCATCAACAAGTTGTAAGACTGTCATTCTCATCATTTCATGAGCAATAGTGAAAGTTAGAGGACAACAAAGCCTTGAAAGACTTAAAGAGACATAATTCTGTTTCTATATCCTACCAAACCACCAATCATAATAGCAAAATAATTTATAGCCATATGAACATTAAAAAATAAAATTACCATCCACATACCTTTTATGAATAAGTATCCTTAGGATGTATTCTACCAAAAGAGAGGAAAAAAACAAATAACAGAATATGTGTGGTTAAGAAACAATGTAACTTACCAGAATGTAATCTGTTCAAATTAAACAGAAAGTGACTGGGCTTCAAAGGGAACATCTTCAAGCAGAGAAATGGAATGGAAGCTTCTCATACAAAGAATGAGAGGACACAGTGAAGAAAGCATGTGATGGGAGGACTCTGAAAGAAGTACATGTACCTTTCCCCCAAAAGTAAACAGAAAGTCCTTTGTAAAAGTGAGGAAGGTTAAAAGCTATATAGGAAGTACCCAACCCAAAAATTAAATCACACTTAACTATGGCATAATTTTTTGTCATCATAGAGGAAGAAAGAAGTCAATTTGATGTTAATATTACAAGTCACCTCCTTAGTGTGGCATAGGGGTCATGAAATGAAGACAATGGGAAGGAAATGTATCATGGCATACTTTTTGGCCCTGGATTTAGGAATATTTACAAAGCCATACTATTGTAACATTTTAATGTTTTTTAGCACACACAAAAAAAGCAAAAAAAAAATTGTAGTTAAGAAATATAATATAGGGCGACTGCCTTCGGCTCAGGTCATGACCCTGGAGTCCCGGGATCGAGTCCCACATCGGGCTTCCTGCTCAGCAGGGAGTCTGCTTCTCCCTCTGACCCTCTTCCCTCTCGTGCTTTCTATCTCTCATTCTCTCTCTCTCTCTCAAATAAATAAAATCTTAAAAAAAGGGATATAATATAGATATTATTAACCTTGACAATATATAAGTAAAGGTCCAGATAAGGGAAGGTGGGAGTGGTGGATGTAGTTTCTGCAGTGGTAAAGAAGGTAGAGTCATTACTTTCCTCATTTTACCAAATAAGGAGCCCAAATATATTTTTGAAAATTGACATGAAAAAATAATTTTTATATATTATTTAAAATTATAACATTAACCAATATGAAAAACTAAAAATTGTAATAACTAATTAAAACTTTGGAGAAGAGAGGTTGGGGATAGTGTGGGTTATCTTAAGAAGTCAATTAAAAAAACAAGAATGAGCATTTTAACTTATTATTCAACATATAGACCTAAAGTTAGAAAAGATTAAAAGTGGTAATTTCTGACGAAGAGGACTAAGGTAGGAAGGGAGACACTAAACTGTTGCATTTTATTATTCAATCCTTCTATATTATGCTGTTTGACTTTCAATTAGACAGCCTCTATCAGACAACTGAAAATCAAATAACCAAATAAAGAAAATGCAAATTACTCAAAAAGATAAGATACTAGTTAGCATAAAACATTTCATCAATATTCCACTTCAACTACCTCCTAGATGGGTGCACATAAAAAGGTTCATATGTACAAAATATACACATAGATTTGTTCACATTTGGTGAGTGGAAGAAAGCTACTAAAAAAAAAAAAAGCTGAGGTGAGAGATTAGTTGAGTAAAAACAATGTAAGCAGAGGGCTTTGAAAATTCATTCATTCAACAAATATCTTGAAGCTGTTTGAAGTCAGGTGTTTTTCCAGCTGCCTGGCCAAGGACAGTAACTAAGACACAATCCCTGCCCTCAAAGGACTTTGAGTCGAAATGAAAATAAGGGGGAGGGGTTGACGCCGATTTCATCATGAATAGTTGACACATTTCTTCAACGGGCGAATAATACTAGTTCATTTATTTTATATACCTTCCCTCAAAAAAAGTTGTCTTTCTGTCCCAAATAAAAACAGGAACCAAGGGGCCTTAAAAAGCAACCACTGACAATTCCAACTGTTCACATTCTCCCGCTCCCCAGGAAATGTTACATCTCGACAACTGACTAAACCTTTGAAACTAGAAACAAAACCAAGACTTTGTATCTATGGTAAGTAATGGAGAACTGATTCCACATTCTCTAACCTCTTCTTTAAACCTTCCTTTGAAGCAGTGATGCAGTGGTTACTCTCAAATAGCTGCCTACAGTTCCCAAAGGACTCAGGTCAACCGGGGGCGGCGAGGGGAGGCGGACATTAGCTAAGGATGCGCACAGTCCTCAGCAGCAAGCAGCTCCACAGGTTGGCTCCCCTTACTGTGGGACAAGCCAGGCCACTCGCTGCACTTGACTTTCCTCTACCTCCCACCAGCCCCACCCACTACGACACACAAACCTGACAAACCCAAATACCTGCCTCTGAGTGTGGGGACGCAGGCGGACACAAACACAAGGGGATGGAGCTTCTACACAGGGCCCCAGCTTGTCGCTATGGCTGCTGCTGCGGGCGCTACTGCTTAGTGTACCAGACCCTGCATTTCAGGTGCTTCTACAAAAGAAGCCGCTCCTCGAGCGCCGGGGTTGCCCTTTGCCTGCTGGCTAGAATCCGCCGAAATTTCCAGCTCGGAATCTGGCCAGGAGCGTGAGTCTGACTCTCTCCACTGACAGCTCCCAGCTCTCCCCGCCCCCACCCTCGATTCAGCCGGGCCATTTCCTCTGACCTCACAACTTCCACGACACAACGTTGAGGAAAGACCCAGACGTCCAGCGTTTTGCCCCTTGCCCAAGCTGGTGACAAAATGTAGCCACCAAGGAAGAAGTGCAGAGGGATTGGAGTTATTGGTTAAAGAAACAGAATACGGAGAGCCTGGTGTGGCTGCACACAGGAAGGCGGAGGCAGAATTTGGAGTTAAATCGGAGGAACGCTCAGGCGTTTGCTGGGGACACCTCGTTGGGTCCTTTCTCAGTGCTGTCGTGTGCGGGAGCGTGTTCCCAACTGCTCCGGACTGAGGCTGCCCGGGTGAGGCTCCCCAGGTTGTTGTGTCCACCGATTCATGTGAGTGACGCCCACCGAGGGTACCGGGTAGGCTGGTTGAGTTCGAAGGAGTCCCCCTTCCCTTACTCGACTTGGCGAGATGGGACCTGGCCTGCCGATACTAGTGGGAAATACGCTCATCCCAACACCAGTCTTGGCATCTGGAAGTAGGGAACAAACAGCTTGGGACCTTTTGAAGGAACCACGTTTGAGAAATGGGATGCAGGGCTGAGGGAAAGGATGCTACTGGAAAAGTATATTCACAAACACGTGTACTGTTACGTGTGAGCGCGCGCCCGTGTGTGTAAAAGGACTGGGGTGGGGGTGTGTCAAGAATTCATCCTTCAGTTAATTAAGCGCACACTGTTTCGGGCGTTGTTTTAGGCCCTGGGTAAAGAGCAATGAACAAAACAGAAACTCCTAGCTTCCCGTAGTTCACGTTCTATTGATGAAGACACATACTAAACACAATTAAGAAAAACATGCTATACTGTAGGTTGTAATGGGAGCTGAAGAGAAAAATAATAAAGCAGAGGAGGATATAGTTTGAAATTTCAGTGTGGCCAGGGAAAGTCTTACTGAAAAGACGCCTTTCGAGCAAGAGCTGACATTCATGAGAGAATTAACCATACAGATGTCTTGGGGGAAGTGCGGTCAGGTAGAGAGGGACCAGCCATTGCAAAGGCCATGAAGCAGAAATTCGCCTGAAGAGCAAGGAAGCTTGTGGGTTAGAGTTGAGTGAAAGGGTTAAAGCTGGAGGCAAAATCATAGAAGGAACAAATCATGAAGGATATTGAAGGCATCTCAGTTATTGGAGAGTTTTGAGCAGTGGACGGACATAAGCTGGCTTCCTTTTAAAAAGGATCTTGCTGCTGTGGAGAATAGATTGGAAGGGGCAAAGTGGAAGAAAGACCGGTTTGGAGGCTTTTGTAGTAATCTAGAGGAGACAAGATGGTGGCTTGAGTAGGGGTGGTAAGAAATGGCTGGCCAGGTTCTTAGTGCTCTTAGCTTAGTTTGTATTGGTGGATGATGAGTTAATTTATTTTAATTAGGATTGGGAGACACTTTAAAAATGAAGTGTAGTGTGAGTTTTGGAGTAACAAGTTAAAATCGTAGCTTTGCAATTTAATATTTAATTTATAATATTTGGATTATAATATTTGGATTTAGACCAGTCATGTAATTTCTCTGAATTTTTCTATAAAATGGAAATGTTATCCCACAAGGTTGTAAAGCTTAAATGAACCCATATATAATGTGCCTGGCCCATTAAAGTAGTGACTGTTGTTATTAGCTGTGTTCTTGGATAAGAAATGGGAAAAAGTCCTGAGTGCTTCTGTGGATGGAAAGGAATGGCTAAACCCTATTGAAGAAAATCTTAGAGACCTAGACATACCCTTTATAAAAACTTTATGCATATTTCACTGGACAGAAAGATTTTCTGTTAATGGCCATAGTATCTGAAATATATGGACTGTCTTCTCATAGCCATCCACTGTATAGCAATCCCCTCTTAGCCATCCCTAAAGCCCCCCAGGAACCCTTGTGTGTTTATTAGTAAAGGGGAAGAAGGTAAAGAAAAACAATCAAGAATTAAAACAAATTTCCCGTTATAAAATGAGTAAGAGATATAATGTACAGTGTGGTGTCTATAGTTTAAAAATACTGCATTTGAGTATTTGAAAGTAGCTGGGAGAGTGGATCTTGAAGGTTCTCACAAGAAAAAAGTATTTGTAACTATGTATGGTGAAGGATGTTAACTGGGCTAATGTGATCATCTTGCAGTATATATAAATATCGAGTCATGTTGTGCATCTACAACTAATTTGATAATTGTGTCAATTACATCTCAAAAATTTTTAAATAAAAAAAGTGACACAGCTAATAAGTGGCAGAGCTAGAATTTGAATTCATTCCCTCAATACATGCCACGTAAATAAATAAATAAATAAACAAGAAACATTCACAAAAAGAATAGTTTTAGGTCTGTTTTCTATATTTTGGCAAAGCTTGCAAAAACACCCCTGGAGTTATTGCCAGTTACCGCTGCTATATAATTTGAGTATTTCTGGGACTCATTGTTCTCAGAATATTTAATTTTTATTATTTACCTTTTTAAAAATTCTGACTTTTGACACGTTTTAAATCCTAGTAGGAGTTTTAAGATAGTTCTAAAAAGTACGACGTTATGTAGCATGGTAATAAAGATGTTCTCCATATGGGGTGATTTGGCAGTTAGGTTATGAAGCAAATGGAGGAACGAAAATTGGAAGGTTAGATTAGGAATTGATGGTGGGGGGAGAGAAAAAAGTGATTAAAATTATTATAGTTTATTAATCCTGATGTACATGCTTTTCTCATATTTGCTTCTCTAAAATTGTCATGCATTTTATAATTGTCTTAAAATCACTATGAGCTAAGTGGCACTTGTGACATAGTTGTCAGTGCCCCTACTTATGCATACTTGATCATAAGTGTCAATATTGTCATCGGTTCAGTTATGTGTAGTGTTAGTATATAGTGGTTGACTTTAATCTCCATTTTAAGTATCCTTTATATGATGAATTACCATTAAAATGAAAAGTTAATGTGTATGCAGAAATATAGGGAAACAAAAGAGTTATATAAGATAAAAATAGGGCTAAATTTAAAAGAGATTTTTCAAATAATACAGGATGTGTGCTTTTTTCTTTTTTTTTTTTTTTAAGATTTTATTTATTTGACAGAACGCGAGAGAGGGAACACAAGCCGGGGGAGTAGGAGAGGGAGAAGCAACTTCCTGCCCAGCAGGGAGCCTGACGCAGGGCTCGATCCCAGAACCCTGGGATCATGACCTGAGCCGAAGGCAGATGCTTAACGGCTGAGCCACCCAGGCGTCTCTGTGCTTTTTTCTTAATGGTACATAAAATGACAGAGCGTCTTATGATTGGAGCCATTTTACAATTGATGGCATCTTAGATTTGATGAAATACAATATTTACAGCATCTGAGAAGACTATAAACCTTTACCTAATTGAGGTTCTGAAACAGTGAAATCAGATGTTTTGGAAAGTAGAGAGACACTTCCAGATTTTTGTAGAATTCCTATATTATAAAGGAAAATTGACAACCTGCACTTAAATCTTCCATTTCAAAGTAATAGCTTATTTGTTTATATTTGGTCCCTAACATTGAAAACCTGGGGCAGGGAGTTTGCTATTTAAAAGGAATTACTGGATATAAGACTGATGAATCACTGAACTCTACCTCTGAAGCTAGTAATACACTATATGTTAATTAATTGAATTTAAATTAAAAAAGAATTATTGGCAATTTAGAATCAGAGTGGGGAAAGACTACTGAGGAAATTTCTGAGATAAAGGGAAGCCATTTGGAAATGACAGAAATCTCAGAAATAACCTTTTGTGTATGTTTTAATGATTAAGATGTCTAAATTCATGTATTTCATAAAATCAGCCTCAACTTTGATTAGTGGCATCTACAATGGCTTTTAGATCTAATGAAATATAATGAATATTGTGAACAAAATTAAGAGGCAGAATAATTTAGATAATACTTTAAAAATGCTTTTTGTCATAAAAATAAGGTCATTATTTTTTTAAAGATTTATTTATTTATTTATTTATTTATTTGACAGAGAGAGAGAGAGCACAAGCAGGGGGAGCGGCAGAGGGCGAGGGAGAAGCAGGCTCCCTGCGGAGCAAGGAGCCTGATGCGGGGCTCGGTCCCAGGGTCCTAGAATCATGACCTGAGGCGAAGGCAGCGTCCTAACTGACTGAGCCACCCAGGCGCCCCAAGGTCATTGTTTTTTAATTTAGTAAAGGAAAAAAAAATCTAAACTATCCAAGAATTCTTACTATCCAAACAGAACTAACATCTCGTGGACTGTTTTCTCCTTGTGTTTTATATTTGTAATTACTGTGTGTGCAGTTAAGTATTATTTCTCTGTGTAATTTTTTTCTCTATGTAAGTGTTTTACATTTATGATAACTGTGCATGCAATTAAATATGTCTATTTTATCTCCTAATCATTAAATAAAATTTAGTGCGGATTAAGCCAGTATTCCCAAACTATTTTAGAGGATACTATTCTAGTAAATGTTAGTAGGTGTTCCTTGGTTAGGATTCTGTGGTTAAATACATTTGGAAACTCTACATAATTATGTCTTTTATAGAAATTATAAGCTTGGACATTAAAAGAGCTAACTCCAGAATCAGACAGACGGTAAGTTTTAATCCTTTTATTTACTAACTAGTCATATGACCTAAGGCAAATTAATTTTAATTCAAATTTTCTCCTGTGTATAATGGAAGTAATTACAGTATTCATAGGTGATCTATGTAATGCATTTAGCTAGCCCATAATAAATACTCTGCAAATTTTATCTGTTACTGTCTTATTAACATTATCATCTGTGAGAAACCCTAAGTCTATTAGCACATTGAAAGCCCTGAGGACTAAGGGAACTTAAAAGTTATGAAATTCAACAGGCACTCAATGTAAAGTTGAAACCACAATGGAGCAGTTGGCGCACAATAATGAAATGAGCACTAGGTTGAATGGTGCAAGATCTGTCTGAGCTTTAAGCTCTAAATTGTTATTAAACTAGCCCTGTTCCCTAAACATAACCTCATTTAAATTTGTTTTTCCAATTTACTGTGTTTCCCTCATTTGTCTGAAAGCTTAGTGAGTACAAAGAACATGTTTAATTTTGCTCTTTACTATAAACCCAGCACATGGCTCAAAATCAGGAAATATAAGTAAAATTGCGGTCATGAACTTAAATTTTTTTATAGGGGCCTGGCAGGTAGCGTAAATGGCAGACAGCAGGGAGTTGGGCAGTCTGTTTTGCCTTGCTTAAAGCATTCACCTTCAGCTGTTTTGATCATTGTTAACCCTGGAACACAAAGACATCCCTGATCTCTGTGGTGATAGTTTGTAATCTGTAGAAGAGACTAGAGATCAGGACCAAACTCTGAAAAACATAAGCATTAAAGGGACAAGTCAAGAAAAAAGAGCCCTAAAAGGAGGTGCTAAAGAAGTAGGAAGTGAAATCAGGTGAAACTATCCTCATTTTATAATTAAGAAAATAAAGCACAAGAGAAGTTAAGTAACTTTACCAAGGTCACACAGCCTATTAAGTATGTAATTCAACCAAGATTTGTTGGCTGTAAATACTTTTAAGAGAAAAAAAAACAAACTGCCCTTCTGCTGGTGCTAGTGATCAATATCTGCATATTGCTAGAAAATATGGACATAAACTTATGCATACTACTTTACTTATATTTTTGAAAGTTTAAAGACAGTTAATTAACAAGTGCTAGAAAACCTGTTTCCAGAGCTTCTAATTCTAAAAACAATAAATAGCTCTTAGCATTTGAGAAAAAGTTGTGTCAACATATAGACCTGACTAGAAGCTAATCCAAAATATCTCAAAAGGCATGTTAATTTTGACATCATGAATAATATTGCCAAGATAACCAGTTATCTAGGAGTAGAGAATAAGTAGACACTGGTTAACAGCTAGTGTGTTTTATAATCATTCCTAAGTTTTATTTTGCCAAGAAAACTTGATTATTACCAGAAAAATGTGCTAGCAAAAGATATTTCCTCTCTTCTTTTAAATAAGGCTTCCTTTGTAGTGGTATTGCTGATATTGTGGCAGTTAAGTTAGTTACAAGTAACCTATCTATATGATAAATGTTATAAATATTGGAAAATTATTAATTATTGCATAACCAAATAAGGACTTTGTCATAAGTAATTAGGATGTAGAATATTTTCAGGTTTTAAATTCATACACTCTTAAGTTTGTGGTTCACTGAATTTTTTTTAAGACTTTATTTTTTAGAGCAGGTTTAAATTTGCAGCAAAACTGAGCAGAAGGTATTTAGTCAATTTATATTCTTTTTTTCTTTTCCTTAAACCAGAACGATTTATATCATTTTCATAAAACAGTTTTTGTATTCTTGGCCATTTGTATGCCTTTGGCAAAATGGTACATATGGCTCATGCTGGATTGCTTTGCCTTCTGAGCTAGAGCTGGGAACTGTTAATATTAGTCCTTAGAAGACTTTCACAAGGCGTTCAGAGTGAAATCTGCTCTATGCCATTGAGTGTTCCTTCTTTGTGTACCAGTTATTTAAATAATCTTGAGTCTATTACCTTTAGAGTTTCCATAATTATGATGACAATATCTATTTGTACGGAGAAGTGCAAAGATTTTCAGTTGGCTGTTGTCTTATTGTATTCCCTGGACAGGAGTCCTTGGATATATTTTGTACACTATTATAAACACAAAATTTAGAATTAATGTAAATATATTAATATTTATCATCCCTGTAGACTGTATACCATTCACAAAGAAATTAAGGTGTGACTCAGCCAAATTACCTACTATATTTTAATATCAATTTCCATAATTTATATTTTTATTATTTGTTATGTTCTTAACCTTTAAGAAAATGTAAAAATCATAGCTAAGGATCTACAAAATATCATACCCATAGGTAACCCACACTACTGTGAGCTTCTTGAAGGTGGGGATTGTACATATATCCTTTGTTGTGTTCCCAAAATTGTGCTCAGTGCCTGACATTTTTTAGCTATGTGCCAAAAATCTTGAGTATTATTCATGGTATCTCATTTTGCAGTGTATCAGTGCTATGATATATAAAATTATCTCCATCTTACAAATGAGAAAACTGAGGCTCAGAGAGGTTAGGTAAGTTGTTGAGGGGCAAAGGGTAGGATTTGATTCAAGGTCTTGTGATTTCCAAGTCCATGTTCTTTTTATTAAATTACTTTTATCTCATTATTCTTGTAAAAGTTCTTAATATTCTAAATGAGGAGTAATAATAATATGTACCTTATACTGTTGTGATAATTAAATGTTAATATTGTGAAGTGCTTAGAAAAAGACCTGGCAAATACTAAAGACAAAGTAAACACTAGATATTATTATTACCCAGTAATACCTATCAGGAAATTTGAGATGACTTCTGTCATCCATAATTATTTTATATATGAGTGGTTTATTAGGATCACTGTCCTCTCTCTCTCTCTCTCTGTTTTCAACATTTTAAGACTTCATGGCCTATGAAGTGCCTGGTTGTCTCAGTCAGTTGAGCATTGGACTCGATTTAGTTTCTGGTCATGATCTCAGGGTTGTAACATTAAGCCACACATCCTGCTCTGCACTCAGCACAGTCTTTTTCCCTCTCCCTCTGCTCCCCCCCACACCCGCTTGTGTACTCTCTATCTCTAAAATAGTAAGTAAAATATTTAAAAAAAAGACTTCATGGCCTAAATATGTTTTTCAGTAACATTTTCATTTGTTACTAACATGTTTTCCTTCTATTTTTCATGTTTTATTTATATAGTTATTTGGTTAAAAATAAATCCATTTTTACTGAATATTTCAAGTGATATGCAATTCTCAGTCCTAGTTATATTTCACAATTTAAAACTAGACCGTAATCTAAGCAAGTATTTGTAGTTATAAGCAAGTATATAAAATATAGAGGTATATATTTTTTATCAGCATCATTCAAAGTATTATCACTTTCTTTTATCCTATTATTTCCTCTTAGTGGCTCTATGTATGTGTTTAATATATTCAGCTCATTTGTGTCTATGTTTTGAAACATTCTTTCTTATTAAACTTAACGCCTGTGCTTCAATATGTATTACAAAAGTCATATTTAATTTAACTCACTTTTGTAACTATTTTGCAGATAGTTAATAGATTTATCAACTCAGTAAAATTATATCTTTTTTTTCTCTTAGCCTAGGATTTATGATCTCTATTTTGCGAATTATCGTTAGTCTTAGTTTGAAACTGTTTTTGTGTGTGTCAGGACATGAATTTCATGTTTTGCTGATATTTGTGAGATAAATTTCTGTACCTGTTGGCAAATTTATGACAACTATTTTGCACTTAAATCTACTTGTTTCTTATCAGTTATTAGTTGACTAGGGATTTTTCTAAAGCATATCACTAAGGTCACATTTAACTCATTAAATTTTTCTTTGCTACAAAAGTAAAAGCTAACAAAGTATGCTAAATCAAATACTCCTTAATTTTCTTGGGATAGCTATTTTCACCTATTGAATATATTTGATTATTATGTTAGACTAAAATAGAAAGGCCTTAAACTAAAAGAATGCTTACTAAGGAGGATGTTAAAAGTCCAGAAGAACATGGCTTTTTTTTACTTTAACCTTCTTCATCTGTTTATTTGTACTATTCTCTAAAATTCTAGAACAACATTTGAGGAAAAGCAACAGAATATTCTGTGTTCATGTTTAAAAATTGGCTGAATTTAAAGTTGATATCTTCATTTTCAATTTTTGTACCTTTTTATTTGTTTGCTCTGTATTTTTTTTAATTGTTAAATAATAGTCCGTATAGAAAATTAGGAGTTTACTATGACTTTTTCAGATTATCCTCATTTATATTTTCTTCACTTACTAACAACTTTATTTTTATCAGGTTTTTATTTTTTGGTGGTTCTGTATTATAAATTGTCAATTTTAGCATAAAGTTTTTTGAGAATTGGTTCTCTTTTTATAAAAAGGTAAACATTTCACAATGTTCTTTATATAGCATGGATATTGCATAATATGAAATTTTCAAACAATCTTGTATTATTTGTTCATTTTAGCCAATTTTTTCCTTTATCAAAAAATTTAACCATTTTATTATCTAAAATCAGAATTACTTCAGCAATGCTTATGTCATTGTTATGCTTTATATTATAAATTGAAGTTAATCAGGTAAAAAGTTTGTAGTATTATTAATGATTAATCTTGTTTTTCGTCAGTGTGACTATTTGTCTTAATATTCAGCAGTTTAAACTTTAATATTATGAGTTAATCTCAGAATATTTGCTTATATGCATTTTTCTGCACACTGACAGGATGTTTTCTAATTTCTATGAATTATAAAATTAAAATTACAATAATTTTCTTTTACGGGGTCATAGTATATATGCTGACGTTGTTTCTGAGTAGGCATGTCATTAATATTCATATATTCCTAATTGATCTTTTTGTCTTTAATTCACATGTTCCTTCTTAAAATTGTACGTAGTTAAATAAACAGAATAGTTAAATAAACAGTAGAAATATCCAATATACAAAAAATAAACACTAAGAATTCAGCAATTCTTAACTTTAGAACACAGGGGTGGCACTCAAGCTTAGTTAAGGTTATTGTTGTTATTCTTTTCTTTTAGTATTCCTGTTTTGCATCATAATACTCTGCCATACATATTTTAAAGCTTTCTTTAAAACTTTCCAACCTAAAATGTGGTTAAATAGCATCTTTTTTGCATATAGGGAAAAAAATTGATTGCTTCTTCCAAACATATTGAGGCATTAATTGTTTAACATTTCTGCTGTTTGGTTTGTTGCTCTATATCGGAAAAGTGTTTTTCTAGTGTATTGATTTGTTAGAAGATATTTTTCCTTTCAGACTGCTTGCTCATAGTGTTGTGGCACAATAAATTTATTCCTTCTATAGTGTAATTTGCCACTTTTTATTTTTTCACTTAGGATTTTCTGCCGTTTCTTGGCAAAAATGGCAACTAATGGTGCTGTTCTGAAGAGACTGGAACAGAAGGGTACAGAAGCAGATCAAATTATTGACTATTTAAAGCAGCAAGTTGCTCTTCTTAAGGAGAAAGCAAGTAAGAGATTTTGCATTTTTGGAGGAGATACTTAAAATGAATTCCTATATGGACAAGAGCACAAAAACTGTGTTTACCCCATAAATATACTTCATCATCTTGATGGTAACTTTTAGATTCCTTTACTATTTTAATTTTGAGTGAAATAATATTCTGGAATTGAGATAAATTAGAATTGGTATATAGTGAATGTAATGTAGAGAAAACAATGTATTATTTTAAGAGGGCTAAAGGAAAATTAATGTTTAAACTAAGTTCATATAGAATTAAAGATTAAAATGAAGAAAATTAGGTAAAATCAAATATGAACTCAAATTTATCTCCTCTAAGAATATATACTTATATTACCCTCTACTTAAAGCATTTTTCTGAAATGATTTTTACATTTTTTCCAATACGTCTTTAAGTTTTACCTAGGAATTGCTATGATATATACAAAAATATCAAATCTGAATTTCTGCTTTTAGGATTTAGGTTGATTTTTGTTTAAATATATTTTTTATTTCTCAATAACCAATGTTAATGATATGATGAAAATTCCCAAGTCTTTTAGAATAACTAATAGAAATAAATGCTTTTCTTTGCTGCATAAGATTGTGAATGGTTACAGAATCATACAGTTACTCTTCAGAATATTTTTTCTTTATTCTCTTTTCTTAATTTTAAAATACTGTTTTAATTATTCCTTTTTTATAATGTTTTGTAAACATTTTTTTCTTTAAATTCGTAAAGGAGGGCGCCTGGGTGGCTCAGTTGGTTGGGCGACTGCCTTTGGCTCAGGTCATGATCCTGGAGTCCCGGGATTGAGTCCCACATCAGGCTCCCTGCTCAGCAGGGAGTCTGCTTCTCTCTCCGACCCTCTTCCCTCTTGTGCTCTCTCTCTCTCATTCTCTCTCTCAAATAAATAAATAAAATCTTTAAATTCGTAAAGGATTTCTTGTTATTTTTCTTAAAATTTTTAATTTTTTTTTCCATTAGTAAGATAAAGATTAGAGATGATCAGTGCTTCTGTATGAATTTTTTCTCATATGGGTGGCTATTAGCTTGACTAGCATTTCAATTTTGCTAATCAAAAAAAAAAAAGGAACCCTTCTACACTTACTGCATATTTATTCTTCATCTTTATTATTTTTTGGTAGCCTATCCTGGATGGTTCTCAGTCCCATTGTTCCTATGTTACAATAAATATTTTGTAAAAATCTCTTAATACCCTGTAAAGAAAATATTTCTTAGATAAAATAACCTGCCTATACACATAATTTCAAAACATGTTAACCGTGTATATAAGATAGAGGAAAATTAAGAAGAATGTAATATATAAATTGTAGTAATAATGAAAATGTGTATTTTAGTGAGTAAATACTTAGGCAGGACTGTCCTACCAGACATATGAGAGTCCTATGATGTCTGGTTCCCATACATGGAATCACCAAGAATGCAATAGATATAATGCTAATTGGTATGAGTTTGTATTTAGTTTGCCTTTATGTGGGCAACTCTGATACCAAAAACAGCTTTCAGGTATGTTTTTTGTTTATTCAGAATGATGAATTAAGGAAAGCTGTGAACAAAACAAAGTACAATCTACTCTCGATTTATAAGATATTTGATTTATAGAAAATTCAGGGTGTAATGAAAATATGTAAGAATACTTTGTGTTTATATATAAAAAATAGTGTCGAGGCTCAGATAATTAACAGTATTTTCACCTATACAAATGTACAGTGGGTTACTGGAAAATTCTGCAGAATGTGAGACAGCTCTTCATTTTACAGGTATATCTAGCATATTTCAGGACATCTGACATTCCTGACTCCTGCCCAGTAAATGCCCAGAATGACTCCTATTATTTGTGACAACCAAAAATAACTCCCACAGATTTTGAAAATCCTACCTAGGGAGCCGTACCAACCCCACTGAGAATCATTGTTTTTCTTTTATTCTTTTGTGTACCCTATTGCTCACCTTTAGCATACATATCTTGAGGAAATCTTTGAAGCTATTTCACTCATTGAATGTTCGACTAGCTCAATGTCTGAAACATTAGGAGTAAAAGATTATTCAGGTACTTTTACAAGGTAATGATTAAAAAGAAAGAAATGAGTTTTTTTATGGTTTGCTATCATTAGATCTCTGGCTTTAAAAAAATAATGAAAGACATGTATCATATGACCTCACTGATGAGAGGAATTCTTAATCTCAGGAAACAAACTGAGGGTTGCTGGAGTGGTGGGGGGTGGGAGGGAAGGGGTGGCTGGGTGATAGACACTGGGGAGGGTATGTGCTATGGTGAGCGCTGTGAGTTGTGCAAGACTGTAGAATCACAGATCTGTACCTCTGAAATAATGCAATATATGTTAAGAAAAAAAAAAAGCAGGAGGGGAAAAATGAAGGAGGGGAAATCGGAGGGGGAGACGAACCATGAGAGACTATGGACTCTGAGAAACAAACTGAGGGTTCTAGAGGGGAGGGGGGTGGGGGGATGGGTTAGCCTGGTGATGGGTATTGAAGAGGGCACGTTCTGCATGGAGCACTGGGTGTTATGCACAAACAATGAATCATGGAACACTACATCAAAAACTCATGATGTAATGTATGGTGATTTACATAACAATAAAAAATTTAAAGGAAAAAAATAACGTGTCTAATACTTGCCTCATTTTGACAGTTTATCTATGGTTGACGCTTTGAGTTCAGTTCTTAAGTTGTCATTAGCATCTTTATGGAAGCCAGGAAATGCTTCATAAACAAAATTTTTGTGTCCCGTTATTATTTCACAGGTTTTCTTGCTTTTTCTTTATGTTAAATATCATTTTATTCTAATAAATATTAATGTTTGCCAATTCCTGACATAAAGGAACTGGCAAACATTTAGTTACTGGTATTATCCTAGTTATGTTTATACTGCTGTGCTCTTATCAGGTAGTGTTCATAAGAAATCTCTTAGAAAACATGGCTGTATCTTACCTGGATTTTCTTAATCCTAGTTTTGCAGGCAACTTTAAGAGAAGAGAAGAAACTTCGAGTTGAAAATGCTAAATTAAAGAAAGAAATTGAAGAATTGAAACAAGAGCTAATTCAGGCAGAAATTCAAAATGGAGGTAAATATATAAATGATAGGTTGTTTTGATTTATAATAATAATTGTATCATTAATTGTTAAATTAGGTATTGTGCTTGATTTCTCACTTCATCCCCACAGCAGTCCTTCTTGTTCAATGTACCTCCTCTACAGAAGAGAAAATAGACTTAGAAAAGACAAATGATCTTGCCTGAACTCATGTAAAAAGTGCAGACCCGGGGTGCAAACGCCTGTGCTTATAGTGATGTTGAGCATGTTTTCATGTATTTGTTGGCCATCTGTATGTCTTTAGAAAAATGTCTCTTCAGGTCCTGTGCCTGATTTCATTGGATGATGATGACGATGATGATTTTTGGTGTTGAATTATAAAAGTTCTGTATATATTTTGAATATTAAGGCCTTAACAGATATACCATTTGCAAATACCTTCTCATTCAGTTGGTTGCCTTTTTATTTTGTCGATGGTTTCCTTGCTGTACAAAAGCTTTTTATTCTGGTGTAGTCCTATCAGTTTAGTTTTATTTTTGTTTCCCTTTCCTCAGGAGATATACTTAGAAAAATGTTGCTGTAGCCAATGTCAAATTACTGCCTGTGTTTTCTTCTAGGAATTTTATGGTTTCAGGTCTCACATTTAGGTCTTTAATCCATTTTGAGTTAATTTTTGTGTATTGTGTAAGGAAGTGGTCCAGTTTCATTCTTTTGCATGTAGCTGTCCGGTTTTCCCAACACCATTTGTTGAAGACTTTTTTCTACAGTATATTCTTACCTCATCAGGGAAATCCTATTGTATGCCTGAAACTAATATAGCTATATGTTAACTATACTTAAATTAAAAAAAACAAACTATGATTTTAATCTCTGTGCTACATACTTCAACTTGATCATCACTGTTCCCTATTATTGAAAATAAGCTGTAAGAATATTTAGCTGACATTATGTTTTACTATTTGCCAGGCACTGTGTGCCAAGTGCTTCACATACATTATGTGTTTTATCCTTAAAATTTTGTGTACACAAATGTCCTTGTTTTATACATGAGGGAATTGAAGCCTACAGGTATAATTTGCCTGAAATCATAATTTTAAGTTAATCAACTCAGCAGGTAATTATCATTTCAGTTATGTTGTAAATAAAATTTAAAATTTTATTGAATTATTTTAAAGGGGACTAGATAAATTTACATCATTATAAAACAGTGATAATAATAGCTCTATTACAATTTCAAAGTACCATACAGAAAGGCATTTGATTCTATTATACAAAATCCTTCCTAGGTGAGTTAAGGAGGCCCAAGTATAAAGTCTCTCTTACTACTTCCTTTAGAATTATCCTGTCAGTGAGTAAATTTTTTTGAATGCTATAATATGACCTCCACCCTTAGTGAGCTAAACAAAAGTAAGGAAAATTCAATATAATGTGTGCTTACAGTTATCAACTAAAGAGAACATTGTCTATCTGATCTTTTCCAAGACAATGAGATTTAGAATACAGGTACAGAATTAAATAAATAGTTAAAATATTAGCAATATAAAACTGCTTTCCATTTTACCAGTTCTAAAAGATTACCCTGGAACATTTTAAACTTTGATCTTATTAATGAAATGCTAAAGCATATTAACAGTTTGAATTAATGTATTGCATCCTGTCAAATGGTGAAACATTACACAAGGGTAGATGGAGTGTCACATTACTAGAAGCAAGAGCCTCTAGGGAACTTAAAAATACCTGAGAAAAGTGATCTGAATATTGGCCAGAATTTAAGCCACATCAAAATCCCTCACAAGATTATGTTTTTCCATATTCACTAGGCTTGTGAGAGTGTTTTTAACATTGCAGAAGGAATTTTCTTCCTTAAAAAGTTGTTTTTTGAAATAGAATTATGGACACGTCTCTCCATTAATTCTGATATTGAAATGACTGTTATTAAAACACTTTCCCAGTTGATTGTTCAATAATATAAAAGAAAACCTGAGTGAAAAACATGCCATCTTGCCAAACCATGAGAGGATAGTGTCCCAAGACAGACTGCTTGAGTATAAATTCTTAATTTCCTACTCACTGTGTGTGTGATGGGCCAGTTTTTTAACTTCCTTATGGCTCATGTTGATCATCTGTAAATGGGGATATGAATAGAACTTAACTATTTTTAGGGTATTTATGAGAATTACAAAAGTTAATTCATGTAAAGCATTTCGAAAAGTGGGACATAGTACATAATAAGTACTAGTTATTATTGTTGTCCATAATTTTCTGTTATTAGTGATTAAATGAGAATCATTTATTTAACTTTTATCATGGTTAAAATGTACTTAATTTCTTGACAGCTTTTTATAATCTCAGATAGTAGAGACTTGATAATCATATACAGTGAATTTTTCTTTTAAAAAGAGCTCGTAATGACTTTATTTTATTTTTTGTATCAGTGAAACAAATACCATTTCCATCTGGTACTCTGCTGCAAGCTAATTCCACAGTTTCTGAAAATGTGATACAGTCTAGACCAATAACAACTATAACTTCTGGTGCCAAAGAACAGATAGGAGGAGGAGCGGAAGAAAAGATGAAAGAGAAAATTGAAGTGAAAGGTATTTTTAATCTTTAAGGTTATTTGGTTCTTGACTGGTTTATCAGATGTCAACATTTTTGATAATAATAGTGGTGTCAGAAAGAAAATTGAAACCTTTATGAACTAGAATAAACAGTATGATATTGGAACATAGAAACGGGACCTAAACGATGTGTGAAGATTGACCAGGTCAATAGGATAAGAATGTGGTATTTGAGGTAGAGTATGTTTTAACATAACTAAAAACATAGAAAGTAGAGATTAAGCATAGGGGCCCATATGTAGTTTGGTATGACTAAACTTTAGTGTATATTCAATTTCAGAGAGGTCACAGGTAGAAAGTTAGCTTGGAAATAGTTGTGACAATAGGAAAGGGATAGTCTAGTCAAGGGATAATGTCTGAACTAAGGCATGGGGTTGTAAAGGTTTTAGGAACCCATAAAAACTGGAGTAGGAAGTATATCACCATCCACTTAGACAGCCCGACTAGAAATCTTGTAGTTAACCTCACCCTGTTGTCCTCCCTCAATTTGCATACCTAATTGACCACCAAAACATATAATTCCTACCACCAAAACGTATCTAGAACCCAGCTCCGTGGCTCCAGTTTGTTTGGTGCTACCTTTGTTCAAGTTCTCATGATCTGTCATTTGAATTAATGTTAAAGTCTCGTCTTTTCTAATTTATCCTTAACTTGCTGCTGAAGCTATTCTAACCATAAATCTGACTCCTTTTTTACCTAGTCTCCTTTACTCCTTTGTAGACTTCATTTTTCCAAGTATGTCTAAAAAAAGTGCTTTTATAATTCATTGTACACACCTCTCATAACACTTATACTCACTTAAGAGTTTTTGGAAAATATAAAATGGCTGAGGAATTTGTGAATTAACCTAAGCCAGTTTAGCATCTAACACTTGTCAGTTCCTTTTAGTAAGTATCGGTAACTCTTCTTAGAAGTAGATAGGGGTTGTACATCTTCTACATAACTTCACCACTAGGTGGTATGGTTACAATGAAAGCAAGTCAAACTAATTCTTTCACTTTATAAATTTATTGAGAAGTAGGCACAAAACAATCAGACAAGCCTGTTCTAAGTAGGATGAAGTTCATACCCAAAGGAAGATATATTGCATTTGTGACTACGGGATTAGTCAGTCTTCTAGTCAAATGAGACAGCGGAGACTTCCTTTGTGGGAGGAAGAGGCTCCTCTTCCAAATGGAGCTCTTTGTCTAGAATGCCTCTGTCCAGTGGTACTTTTCTGTGATAATGGAAGTGCTGTATAACTGCATTATCCAACATAGTAACCTGTAGTCACGCATTGCTACTGAACATTTTAAATGTATCTAGTATAACTAAGGAACTGAATTTTTTACTATTTTAAATTTAAATGTCAACAGCTGTGTGTGGTTGGCAGCTACCATATTGGACAGTGCTGGAATACAGGGCTGTTCCACTGGCCTTTGGCTGCTAGAATTGCCAGATTCCAAAATTCTGTTCATGCAGAGGCTGTGGTTACTATACAGGCTTTGTAGACTGCCACATGTGAGCATCACTCATTTTTTAATGAGACATTCTTAAAGTCTTTTATGATGACTAAGTTCTTGGTAGAGATTTGGATATTTGCAGTCACCTCAGGAATGTGGATTCCTGATAAAAGTATTTCAAATACCTAGGAAGTAGATTAAAGTTAAAAATACAGGTTGATATACAGATGTAATGTTATATTGCATTATATCAAATACATAGATTATCACTCAAAGGTAACTGCTCTTAAGATTTTTGGTGTATTTTCTTCTAGTAATTTTGTATATTTATTTCTATACCATTTGGGTTTTTACCGTTAAAAAGTCTGCTAATATTTTACATGGAAAGTGGAATTTTTAAAAATTTAAGTAGATTAAAAATTGCCCATTATTTTGAGCTAGCTCTACCTCTTCTTTTGTAAACTGTCTTTGTATAAATTGTGAATGTCCTTACACAAAATCATTCTTTCCCGCTCCAGGCAGAAATATTCATCTCTGTGTTCCTATATTTCTTTGTGTATGTAATGTTTGTCACATATTCATTATGTATATCTGTCTTCCTTAAAAGAGATTTTCAGTGCCTTAGATCTCAGTAAATATTTGTTCAAAGATTAAATAAAGGTAAGGTATAGTTGAAAAGGAGTGCTTCTAAGTCACAACTGTGTGCTTATCTCTACCCTGTAGATTGCAGGTAAATAAGTTTTTATTTTGTTTTACACTTTTTTCTGCTAGAGAAGCTTAATGTAAACTTAAGGACTATGAACTCTTTACAGGTTGCATTTCCACTCAGTGGCCAAAGTAATCAAATGCTATGAGAGTTAGATTATCGACATATAAATAAGAGGAGGATTTTTGAAACATAATCAGAATAGGGGCGCCTGGGTGGCTCATTCGGTTAAGCATCTGCCTTCGGCTCAGGTCGTGACCTCACAGTCCTGGGATCAAACCCCACGTCGCCCCACATTAGGCTCGCTGCTCAGCACGGGAGTCTGCTTCTCCCTCTGCTCCTCCCCCCGGCTCTGTGTGTGTGCTCTCTCTCTCTCAAATAAAATCTTAAAAAAGAAAAATCAGAATAACGTGTTCTCTCTTGCTCAGATAGTTGCTGTGGATAAACCTAAAGCCCTAATAAGTCTTCCGAGAAATACAAGAAGTAGAGAAATTTGTTGTATACTTATTGGTGTGTTTAACTGAAGAGAGAAACATTTTATCAGTGAAATTGTATTTGGTTGTAGTTCATCCTCTTAGCTGGTACTGATTGTGGTGTTCTTCCTAAATAAAGGATTTTTCCCTTTCTAAAGAGTCACAGTAAAAATTTTAAAGGATTTTCTCCAGCTCTGTTTTGGGGAAAGGCAGACTTTCTCAATAAAGGTCCTTTCAGTAAATATCTTAAGTTTTGCAGACCATAAAGTCATTGTCACAACTACCCTGCCAGCATCCATAGACAATATGTAAATGAATGAACATAGCTTACCAACTTTTACTCTGTCTTTAGCTAGAGATTTAGACAGTTATTCAACAGAGAAACAGCCAAAATAGGGTTCGAGATGTTATGACTTGAATAATTCTTTCCTTTGTTATTATTTAAGTGACAGTAGAAGATAAACAGTTTCTTTTAAAGCTCATCAGTATCGATGTTAGGGAGTTTTTTATAGTTTATCTTGTTTTTGTTTTACTTCTGATGTTTAACCATTCATAAATATTTTTTAGGAGAGAAAAAGGAGAAAAAACAGCAGTCAGTAGCAGGAAGTGCTGACTCTAAGCCAGTAGATGTTTCTCATCTGGATCTTCGAGTTGGTTGTATCATCACGGCCAGAAAACACCCTGATGCAGATTCTTTATATGTGGAAGAAGTAGATGTTGGAGAAACAGCCCCAAGAACAGTTGTCAGTGGCCTGGTGAATCATGTTCCTCTTGAACAGGTAATCTGTACAGTTTAAATTACTTTGGCATAGACGTCACTTTTTCTTGATGTTTTTCCATATAATTTTGTATTAGGTGAGCCAGTATTGATTAGTTCATTTCATTAATTTTAATAAAATAAATTTCACCAAAAAATTACATTAAAACTACCAAAACTTACAGTAGCATTGTAAGTTGGGATCAAATTCATGAAGGTAGAAAGAAGAAAGATGCATTATTTTTTCTCAGTTTTTAAAATGTTTTTAGTTTGCTATTTTATGTGTAATACAGTATAAATATTTTTATCCTCATTGTTCTGTCATGGAATTTTATTACTCCTTGATTTTTTTTAAATCACTGTTATATAAACCCAGAAAGCATCAATCTAAAAAGAGTAGGGGCGCCTGGGTGGCTCAGTCGTTAAGCGTCTGCCTTCGGCTCAGGTCATGATCCCAGGGTCCTGGGATCGAGCCCCGCATCGGGCTCCCTGCCCAGCGGGAAGCCTGCTTCTCCCTCTCCCCCTTCCCCTGCTTGTGTTCCCTCTCTAGCCATGCCTCTCTATCAAATAAAAAAATCTTTAAAAATAAATAAATAAATAAATAAATGAAAAAGTAAGAGTAAGAACAAGTCGTCATCGTCGTTTTTTTTTTTTTTTCCTTATAACTCAAGAAATATTTTCATACTTGAAGTAAAAAGAGGAGAGGGCATTATGGAGCTTAAACTTATAATTTTTAATGGTATTTCTTTATTTGTTAAAAACTGGATGTTTTGTATTTTGTTGTTACTTAGGTATTTAAAATATGTGTGTGTATGTGTGTATAGACAGACACACATGTATTTCCAATGACGGTGGAAAAAATTAGGCAGTAATGATTTTAATTGGTCTTTCAAGACATCTACAGTAATTTGGAGTTATCTCTTTCCTCTACTCCGTGGTGCTTTGGAGATACTGCAAAGGCTGTAGACTTTAACATTAAAATAGTTCTTCTTTGTTCATTGCCAATTCTGTTGCTTATTGGCTTTGTGGGGATAAATCCCTACATACATTCATTCATTCATTCATTCATACTTTCAGATGCAAGTATTTATTGGACACCTGCAGTATACCAGGCACTATTCTAGACAAGGGATGTAGCAGTGAATTAAAATGATAGATAGGTAGGTAGGTAGATAGATTTGTTTAGGAAAAAAAAAAAAATCCTGCCTTTGTGAAGCTCACAACTCTATGGGGGAGTCAGAAGATCATGATACATAGTATATTAAATAGTGGTAAGTATTAAAAGAAAAAGAAAGAATCTAGGAGTTGTTGGAGTTAGGATGATGTCGTTTTGTATAAAGTGGTTAGGGAAGGCATCATAAAGAAAGTGACTTTAAGGTGTAATAAAGAAAGGTCTAAGAAAATGAAGAAAGGTCCTGTGTCTCTGGTAGAAGAGTATTTCAGGCAGGTCTAAGTCGGATATATGCCTGGCATGTTCAAAGAACAGCAGGAAGCAGTGTCATAGCAGAGTAAATAAGGGGGAATGTCATGCAATATGAAATCAGAAATAAGGATGCCAAATGACATAGTATCTTATAGATCACTGTAAAGACTAGCTTTTATTCTGAGTGAGATGAAAGCCGTTGGAAAACTGTTGAGCTAAGGAGAAATGTGATCTGCCTCATATATTAATAGGATCATCTGGCTGCTCTGTTGAGGGGAGAAAAATGGAAATGAGATTTGTGAAGAAGTTTTTCTTATCTATAAAAAAAAGATAAACTTGGTTCATGTGTGTGCTTTTTTTTTTTTTTCTGTTTAACATGCATTTTGTGTAGGACTAGGACTTCTTCATAACTACTTATGAAGTTAGGTTCATAAGAAGCCCTGGATAAAAGAAGCAATTGATCTTGAGCCAGCTCAAATTGGAAAAACTTCTCCTCCTTTAGGCCTCATCTTTTTTGTTCCCATAAGTTGCAGACAGTATCTTCTCTTCCAAAAGCTGTCATTCATAGCCTTAAGCAAATCTATTTATATACACATCTGTATCTAACCTATCAAGGCAGTAATATTAAACATTCTATAAAGCAGGAGGACTTTGCCCCCACAAATTGCATACTATACTCTGTAGATTTGTGTATTTTTCCAAGGTAAAGGTCCATGGGTATCATCTGATGCCTTAACAATTGCATATAGCTAACCCTTTTGTTTTTTCTTATACAAATTTGCTATAACTGTTTTTTCCTAAAGTGGCAATTTAAATTATTTGTATGAAGAAGATGTTATTCATGAAGACATCTGAAAAGGGGGCCTCTTGCATTTGAGTCTTAGGCCTATTATTATTATTATTGTTATTATTTTGTTTTTTTATTGTTATTATTTTAAATCATAGAATCAATAAATTTGCCATAACATTTGTTTATAAAACCATCTTTTATTTAGAATGTGCCTTTTCTCTTCCCCTGCAGTGATAGTTCTCTTGTATGCCATTTTATTTTAAGCCTGTTGAAAGAATATAAACAGTTGTGTTCCTTATTTTTGCTAATTGGGGAAAAAAAATTAAGACACTTCAACTTTTGAAGATTAAAGAAATCTTTATTCACTTCTATAACAAATTGTAGAAATAGCCCTAAATGTTAATTGCAGTGTACATGATGCTTGAGTAGTTAAATGATCAGCAATATTTTTTTTTATATTTGTTACTGAAGTCTGACTTGCAATGTTAAATTAATTTCAGGTGTACAGTTGTTTCAGTGATTTAACATTTCTGTGCAATACTCAGTGCTCACCACAATAAGTGTAGTCACCATGCAAAATTACTAAAATATTGACTGTATTCCCTATGCTGTACTCTTCATCTCCATGATTTATTTATTTGATAACTGAAAGCTTGCACCTCTTAATCCCCTTAACTTGTTTTGCCCATCCTCCCATCCACTTCCCTTCTGACTACAAGTTTGTTCTCTGTATTTAAGAGGCTGTTGTTTATTTCTTTTGTGTTTTAGATCCTACATGTAAGTAAAATCATAACAGGATTTCTTTCTCTGACATATTTCACTTAGCATAATACCCTCTGGGTCCATCCATGTTGTCTCACATGGCAAGATTTCATTCTCTTTTGTGGCCAAGTAATATTTCATTATATCTATATTTACATTATGTACATTACACACACACACACACACACACTCACCTTTATCCATTCATCTATCTGCGGCAAATACAGAGGTGCATATATCTTTTTTGAATTAGGGTTTTCATTTTCTTTGGGTAAATACCCAGTGGTAGAATTATTGTATCATATGGTATTTCTATTTTCAATTTTTTGAGGAACCTCCATACTGGTTTCCACAGTGGTTGCATTGGTTTATTTACATTTCCATCAACACTGCGTGAGAGTTCTTTTTTCTCCACATGCTTGCCAACACTTATTTCTTGGCTTTTTGTTGTAGCAATTCTGCTTGGTGTGAGGTGATATCTCATTGTGGTTTTGATTTGTATTTCCCCAATGAATAGTGATGTGAGCATTTTTTTCATGTATCTGTTGGCCATCTGTTTGTCTTCTTTGGAAAAATATCTACTCAGACCCTCTGCCCATTTTTAATTGGATTGTTTGTGGGGGTTTTTTTCGTGTTGAATTGTATAAGTTCTTTATATATTTTGGTATTAATCCCTTATGGGATATATCATTTGCAAATGTCTTCTCCCATTCGGTAGATTGTCTTTTTGTTTTGATGATGGTTTCCTTTGTTGTGCAAAAGCTTTTTATTTCGGTATAGTCCCAGTAGTTTAATTTTGCTTTTGTTTCCCTTGCCTGAGGAGACATTATCTAGAAAAATGTTTCTATGGCCTGTGTCAAAGAAATTACTGCTTTTATGGTTTTGGGTCTTAGAGTTAGGTCTTTAATCCATTTGAGTTTATTTTTGTGTATGGTATAAGATAGTGGTCCAGTTTCATTCTTTTGCATGTTCCCAGCACCAAATATTGAAAAAAAAACTCTTTTTCCCATTATATATTCTGGCCTCCTTTGTCATAGATTTTCTGGGCTCTCTATTCCATTGATCTATATGTCTGTTTTTATATGAAGAAGACACTGTTTTGATTACTACAGCTTTGTAGTGTATCTTGAAATCTGGGATTATGATACCTACAGTTTTGTTCTTTTTCAGGATTGCTCTGGCTGAGGATATGCTTATGGCTAGAATGACTTTCTTTGATGCCTGTTCCTGACTGGGCAGGGTTTACTTCCAGTGCTGTTAAGGGGCTTGTGAGCTCAGTGGTGGGCCAGCACTCATCTTAGCTGTTTGCAGTTAGCCTCTGCAACAGCTACAGGCATATGAAGGGCAAAGCTTGCTCCCCGCACAGCCTACAAAGAGGCCTTCTTGCAGGAATTGTGGTTATGCTGGTGTGTAGGGATATCTCCCCTTCTTTTCAGGGCACTGGTCACTTTGGAATGGTCTAAGCCCTGCCTGCCTACTGTGTAGGATCTACTTTGGAAGGGCATTTCCTGATGCAGGTAGATTAGGGTACTTGGCTGCAGGGAATGCTGGGGTGGGGGGCGTGTGGTGTTGGTAAGTTAGATGAAGAGGGATAGTATTGGCTCCTGCAAGCTTCAGACCATCTAGGGCGCAGAGGGCAAGAAAAATGACGTCTTCTAGCACTCCTTTCTTTCCCAGAGATATTTCTTGTAGATCTCTGCGTCTCTAGCACATCCTAAGATTAGTCAATAAATCTCCTTCACGTATACCTCAAGCACTTTCCAAACTGCTGCTTTTGCACTGTGTCTAGTAATGGTTCTTTTAATGTGGAGACTCGATTTACTGTCACCCCCTGGTTTTCCCAGTTTAGCCCTGCTGATTTTCAAAGTCAGTTGTTATGAAGACTCATTTTCCCAGTTTGGGTCCATCCGACACCCTCACTCCTCTGTGATTGTGATATCCCTCCTGTTTGTGGTTATTTGCCAGGGTTCCTGACTGTGTCTCCACTCTGTCCTTTTCAATGTTGTCTTCTCTCTAGCTGTGGACGATCTATTCTGTCAGTCTTCAGGTTTTCAGTTGGTTGCAACAGATGTAGTTATTTCATTGATGTGTCCATGGGACTAGGTAAGCTCAGGATCCTCCTACTCCGCACCTTCCCAAGAGTGATAGAGTCCCAAGAGTCATTTCTAAACTAAGAAATGGATCTTGCATAGTATTGGAAATGTATGGAGAAAAAGGATTGTTCATTTATTTTAGTGCTAACACTAAGCTAAATGCTTTACATACATGTTACAATTTAACCCAAGAGTTGGCTTTTTAAATTTGATATCATTTTCCTCATTTTGTGAAGAAAAACAATTCAACTTCATATAATCTCATTGCTAGTACATGGCAGCTAAATTCAAAACCAAATCTGTTTCAGTCTAAAACTTATTTAACTGAAAAGTCTTGGCTCTGCTCCTTTTAACTATAATGTGCTGTCAGTTTGTGGAATTTTTTTTTCATGTTTTTGTATAACTTCATAACAACAGTAAAAGATTTTGGACACAGAGGCAAAGATACATCTACAAAAATAGAACATTTTATATTTAGCATATTAGATGTACCTTAATGTATTCTAGGTATGATAATCTAAATCTCTGTACATCTTTAATCACCAATTTATGTTTCACACAGATGCAAAATCGGATGGTGATTTTACTATGTAATCTGAAACCTGCAAAGATGAGGGGAGTAGTATCTCAAGCAATGGTAATGTGTGCTAGTTCACCTGAGAAGGTTGAAATCTTGGCACCTCCTAATGGGTCTGTTCCTGGAGACAGAATTGTTTTTGATGCTTTTCCTGGTAAGTATTAGTCATTATTTAAAACGGTTTGGGAACCATTATTTTCTTCTAATGTTTAGTTTAGAATCAGTCTTGTGTATGACTCCAAGGCTTTACCTTAAGTGACCATTATTATTGAGATTTTATTATTGAGTTTCTTCAGATTGGTTCGAGATGGTACATTAAACACAACCATCTAACCATCACCCTCCTCATGAATGCACACATTGCATAAAATAGTAGAGTTTGCTTTAGGGAAAATGCTAATAATACTTACATAGCAGAAGAGTGTGATATGGATAGAGAACTAATTAATGTGCTGCAGAGTCTTTGAAGCTATAGATTATCTTAGACTGTAGCACAGAAAAATGAAAAGTTCATACATCGGAAAGAAATGTGTAATTCTCAAAGTCCATCTAATAATGTACTTGCATATGCTGTTACTTGACTTTAAGATATAGAGGAAAAACTCTGAGTTAAAACTTTTATTTATTGTAATAATCTCAAAGGAAGTTGCTTTTCATTTTGCTTGTTTTCTCCAGTAAAATGCTTCTGAGACAGCTGAAGCTTCATAATGTGTGAAAAAGTTTCTTCAAATAGGTCTTTGAAGCAAAAGAACTTGTCAGATACAGAATAACTATTTCCTTCATAAAAGGAGGTGGAAGTAGTTAGAAATCAAAAGATTGCATTTACTTAAAGGATGTTCATTTGACTAGAATAATGGGGAAAGTAGAAATAAATTAGGCTAACAGGGAGAATCAGGTCTAAAAGTCAGAATTGATTTGGAGACATATTTACAGAAACAGCTGAGTTTTAATAGCATAGCAAGGCTGATATGATTAGATGGGCCTGCTATTTTAATCCTATGTTAACTGTATTGTTTGATAAAATATTAGGATATGAAGGATTTTAACATTGGACTAAGATAGAAAATATGTATGAAAGCATGGGTTAATTTTCTTGAAATTCAGCTCCCCCCTCCCAATCAAAAGTAGACTAATCTAAAAAACACAGAGATTGTTGAGCAAGTGTCTGTGAGTTTGGATGTATATGTCTTGAACCTTGGTAGATTGGAAACCATAATGGTCTGTGCTCTAAGACTCTTTCTTGTTGAACTAGGTTTTGGGAAAATCCCATTTAGAATCATTTCTTAAAGCAGCGTGATGGCTTTTGATTCTAGGAGCAAATGATTGCCACTCTGCTACCACAGTATCAAAACACTTCCCCAAACCTCACACTTGGGGGTAAATCATCATTTGTATACCTGACAAACCTGAAATTCTATTGAGAAGTCTTGCTAAATTGGAATAGAATGACAATAAAAGTAAACTTTTAAGATTCAGCATGCATTTTTAAAAAAGGAAATTCTGTTTACCCTTCCAAGTTAACATTTGCCTTCCTTTCTAAAATTTAAACACTTAAGATTTAGTATGTTTTCTTTACGTTTTATTTTCTGATGTAAATTGTAGAGTTACATGCTTAGAACTGGAAGAAATCATCTGCTTTAACCCACTATTTTACAAATTTGGTTTGTGGCCCAACAAAACTTAGCTACTTGCTTAAGGTTATATAGAGTTTAGTGAAGGGATCAATAAATGTGCTGGAATTTCTAATACTGTAGAATTTTTGTTTGTTGATTGTTGCTTGCTATGAATTAATATGGACTATTTCATTAGTGAAGGCTTATAATTCATTGCCTTATCTCAAAGAATTAACAGGTAATATTTCAGCACTTGAATCAGGTTTACCTGAATGCTACTGTTGAGTAAATTGAAAGATTTTCTTTCGATAGTCAGTGACTTAGCATTAGAGATGCTAATAGCCCCATTAGGAATTTCTTGTCTTCACTATATTCTTTAATCTGTCCATTTAGCTATTTGTGTGTTTATATTTACATTGTTCCAAAGTCTGATATTTCCTGCAAATTCATAGTTTCCCCTTGTGCCTCAGCACATGGATTTGTGGAGAAGGTAAGAAAAATAGTTGTAAAGTGAAAGAAGCAAAAACTTAACCTTTAAAATATAGCCCGTGAGGTTATTTTCTTATCACTTGTAATAGCTTAACCAAGGTGAACAGCATCAAGTAATTGATAAATTTTAGGATGTGAGGTCTGTTAATGCCCATCTTGCTTATGCTTCCACATCAGTTGCTTCTGTAGCAGTAAATCTGAAAGGAGATAACATGTTAATACTACACAACAGGCCATTACTTTCACTGTTTTTTTTTCTTCTTTTTCCAGTGAGAGCCATGGTTTATCAGTGCTTTATTTTTCAGCATCTGTTTTACATTTTAAAGCTTAAGGTGTTTGCTGGTACATTTTGATGTTCACTTGATGTGCTCAGTGTCTGGAAACTTACATTTCATGTTACATAAAGTGTGGTATAGAAATTGCAGTTGGGGCTCAAACCTTTGAAGTACTATTTGGCTTTGAAAAGGCTTTTACCCTAACAACTATTTATTCCAACTACAAATCCAAAAAAGTACATAGAGTTTAGAAGATGCCAAATAATATTTTTATAACAATGGATAGAAACCCTCACCACCCAGTACTTTTTAAATTTTCAGTGTGTGGAGCTATGCATTTTAGTATTTGAATGTGGTAACTACTCCCAAAAGCACCAAGCAAAAATAGCATGAAAATAATATTATAGCCAGAAGACAATGGCAGCGACAGCCACTTTTTGACGGTGCACTGTTTTGTCTAGTAATAAGTGAGAATTTGTATTCAGACTTTTAACTTCCAAGATCATGCTTATTTCTATTGATATTGTCTTATTAATAAATGTAATTAATGGTTAATTATAAAGCATGTATGATATATGCAGGTGTTGAATTTTTCGATCCATTTATTATTAAAAAATATATTTGTTTAAATTTGATTTTTCAAACTTGTCTATATTTGATTCTTCTCTCCAAAACCCATTTCAATCAGGTTTCTCTGCTCACTGTTTTCCCAGAACTATTCTGATCAAGATCATGAATTAATCTCTGTAGCTAAATATCCATGGCTAGTTTTTAGTCTTTTTCTTAACTAACTTGGTTTCTGGCACCACATTATCCTGGCGGTCCCCTCATTGGCTGCCCTTCTTAGCTCCTTTGCTGATTCTTCCTCACCTCCCTGACCTCTTAACATTCAAATATCCCAGACGTTGGTCTTTGCCCTCTTCTCTTTCTTTCCACACTTGGCCTCTTCTGTTTTCCTTTCCGTGTTCATTTTTTTTGGCTATTTTATTCAGTCATTTATCTGGCTGCCTACTAGACTTTTTCACTAACATATACCAAGGAAGAATAGATATCCCCATCTTTCCCCTAGAATTCCCTTTTTCCATAGTATTTACCATCTTATCTGACAGGAACTCCATTCTCTCAACTTCTTTTTATTTTCTCACATATCTTCTTCAGAAAATCCGAGTACTTGTACCTTTTGAGCATATCTAGAATCATACTCATCTACACCACTACCACTTGGGTCTTTGTGCCAACATCTCTTGTTGGGAAGTCAAAACCTTCTAAATGATCTCCCTTGCCCTTCTTCCATTTATTTTCAATGATAGCAGGGCGATTGATGTAAGTCAGATTGTATTACTCCTCTGCTCACAACTATTAAAAAGCTTTTCATTAGACCCAGAGTACAAGCCCAAGCTCTTAGAATGGCTTCCCATTATCTCCATTTACCTCATGTACACCACAAACCTTCATTGATCACTCCAGTTGAGCCATTGGCTCTTTCCCCAATTAGCTACATGACTTGGTTCCTCATTCTATTGAAGTCTTTTAAATGTTATCTTTTTTGTTTTTTCTTCAAAACACTTATCATCATCTAATATACTATACATTATTTATTATTATCTGCCCACACAGAAATGTAAGCATCATGAAATCAAGATTTCTGGGGTTTTTTGTTGTAGTGGTTATTCACTGCTATATTCCTAGCATCTGGAAAAATGCATGGCATAGAGTAGGAACTCAATAAATTGGTTAATGAATAGACAGAAAGAAACGTACTAGTAAAACATGTTAAGAAAACCAACAACACCCCCCCGTCCCCCAGTATTTGGAGAACAGACCTGAGCATCTGCCTTTGTTATTGTCAAGATTATTCCTCAAACCACCAAACCACTTTTCTCTGTTGATTAGCTTTGTAAAATTAATTCACTTTTTTTCTTTTAGATTTTATTTCTTTATCTGAGAGAAAAAGAGAGAACACAAGTGGGGGGAGGGGCAGAGGGAGAAGGACAAGCAGACTCCCCGCTGAGCAGGAGCCTAGCACAGGGCTCAATCCTGGAACCCTGAGATCATGACCTGAGCGGAAGTTAGACACTTAACTGACTGAGCCACTCAGGTACCCCAAATTAATTGACTTTTATTTGCAAAGTTATACTTTAGTTTTTGTGCCATAGTTACAATTTTTGGCAATAGTTACAATTATTATATCTCAAAAATTCAGTTAATTAAACATAAAATAATTCTGTTAGTGCTAGGCTTTTTATGGACATGGCAGATATCAAAGAGAAGCTGATAATCAATGAGCATTCTGTGTAAAAGAATGGCCTAATTAAAATGAAGTTTCTGGTTCTTATTCCAGACTTGTGAATGCCTGGGACTTTGGAATTTGGATTTATTGCTTTTTGTAGGCTTTAAATTCTAAGAAGGTGGTCATAGCTTTTTACATCTGTACAAACTCCTCTCTGAACTATTTCCTATTGCCTGTGTGCTTTGTTTACAATGAGTTGGCCTAAAATAGTCTCTGAAAGATTAGTCTCTTACATTATGTGTAAATATTTCCAAATGGTGATTATTGGCATGTGTTTAGCAATTTCAGAGTTTCTGCAGTTTTTAGGTTTAAGAACTTTTATTGATATCATTTAACTTCTTTGGCTAACCATGTCAAAAAGGAAAAAGAAATAGGAAAGTAAGATTAAAAGTACAATACACAGGAATGATGAAAGACTTCTCTTGACAGTATAGTTCATTAAAAAACAATTGTTTAGGGATGGCTGGGTGGCTCAGTCAGTTAAGCATCTGCCTTCGGCTTGGGTCATGATCCCAGGGTTCTGGGATTGAGTCCCGCATCAGGCTCCCTGCTAAGCAGGGAGCCTGCTTCTCCCTCTCCCACTCCCCCTGCTTGTGTTCCCTCTCTAGCAGTCTCTCTCTGTCAAATAAAAAAATAAAATCTTTAAAAAAATTGTTTAAGATATTAGGTATGTTTTTCATGGCAGGTGATTTAAACTTGCATTTCAAAACTAGCTTTATACCCTACCAAGTAGTATATTATTGAGAAACATTTTGAGTAAGCCAGAAAGTTAACACTGCATCCAAGACTTTTCAACTCTAATTTATATTCAGTTATCATAATGTGACAAGTTCTAATTATAATCTCAAAATTTTATTTTCCTGAATCATATTTCATTTATTGAATAAAGTTTCACAACTACATTCAGAGTGTTCAGGTATTGAGTCTGGTGTGTTGAAAGCAACAGTCAAGCTTTAGAGGTTCCTCTTAGTAGTTTCTAGTTTATATTTAGTTCAAGTTTTTGTTCCTGGAAAATTATTAGTCTAGTTAAGAAGTTAAAGCTTCAGATCTTGACTCCACAGTGCTGGGTGACCTGGGAACCTTTCTGAGGCTTATCTTTTTTATCTATAAGGAGTTTTTAATGTTATGTCTTTTGTGTGAGTTCTGTGAGGTTTAACTTTTGAAACACTTAGCTACCTGCCTGATATTTTAAGTTCTTAGCTGTAACCTTTGTGCCTCAATTTCCTCATCTGTAAAATGGGGGTAATTAATAGTATTTGTGTACTGAGAGGATTGAATGAGTAAATATATGTAAAGAAAGCACTTAGTGTACTGATGGCCCATAGTAAGCACTATGTGTTATGTATTATGAATATTATTTTCTATACGTGTCAATATATTCCTAGATCTGAGAAGCTTAGTTTTGTGCTGCACACAGTTTTTTTGTATTTGGGGCTTATGTCTGCATTTAGCAAGAACCCACACAATCTATACTCTTGATAAGAAGCTTTCACACAAATCTGAGATGCTCTGCTTCTTGAATTAATCCATTATCAGTTGGCAGTATCTTTTTGAGGGGGGGCCGGGGAAGTTCAGAGTTAGTACTCAGGCCTACCTGAATAGTATCTCTGCCTCCAGCTTTCTAGAATTCTGGAATGCCCACTTCCCCACATCATCTGTGTATAAGCAAAGTAGGATTATGTTTGTAGACTAAGGAATAGTTTAGAAACAAAAAATAAAAATCTTGTAGATACTTTATATATTGATATTTTTTCTGTTCTGTTTATTAGTTCTCTATTGTCCAATCAAATGCTCTTAAAAGAATAAGAGAAATCCTTATCTTTTATACTAGTCTTTCAGTTTTAGATTCATTGTATGTTCTTCTGGAATAGATACATCATTCAATTAACTATTCTGTCATCTCTGAAAACATGCATATCAGAGGACAGTTTTCTATGTTCTGGCCAGTTTCATGGGCAGTTTCTGAAGAGCTAATAAAGAAAAAAACCACTGTGGCCAACCAGTTTACTCAGTTTTGTTGTTCTTGTTGTATGAGTGGAGAATAAAAACCAGTGTAGGTAATAAGATGTAATCAGAATATAAAATATAATTAGTTCCAGTAACGTTAAAGATTCTTTTTAAAGTAATTCCAGAAGATTTGAACTTGGTAGTCACTTTAGAAAAGATCTAGAAAGTTATATTTTCTATCATTACTGAATGAGATTTCAGAAAAACTTTTTATTACCCTTCGGGAGAACAATTCTTATTTCACAGTAATGCTTAAGAGATCTGTTACTTTTCTTCATTGTTTCTTGAACTGATTCTTTATTCCAAATGATGATTGAACATCCCCCCAGCTACTAAAATGATGTTATATTAAACTTTACTTTCTACTTCCTTATCAGTCATTAAATAGAGGGATTGTTTGGTATATTGGTGGCCCTTAAGTAGACCAGATGTATTCTACAATATATTTGTCTTTTGTTGATTATAAACTTCTAGTGTGGGTTACGATAGAGAGAATGGGTTATTATCCACATGTAAGAATGTTACTTCTTTTCTAAAGAACGGTTTATCAGGAGGCAAGATGCTATGCTAGGAGAACAAGGGTTTTGGTGTTAAATCGTAATTTGTTGATCATGTAACTTTGAGCAGCTTATCTTCTCTGAACACCAGTTTCCTTATATTTAAAATTAGAGTGTTGTGTGCATTGTATGCAACAGTATATATTTCTTGTGCTTAGCAAATGCTTGTCCTTGTCTCCTTACTAACCCTTTCTATCTCTTTCCATCTCAGTGGAATGGGCAGGAAATGAAATCGAAAGTAGTTATTATATTTAGTTAGATAATCTCAACATTTAATCCATTCTCCAGTATCAGTAAGAAATCTTTAAGCACTTTGGCAGCCATCTCATCGTTTATTTTGTACATTGAAACAGAGTAAAGCAGAAGCTGTGCCACATATAAAAATATAACACATCAAATTATACTCTTATCTCTTCACAGTTTTTCTGTATATATAGTGACAAAATGAGTATCTTATATTTTTGTTTTAATTTGGGGAAAATAATTTGGGGAATAAATTCTTTTGGCTGTATTACCTGCAAAAATATTTCTTATAAGAGTAAAAAATAATCTTTCACATTTGTAGGGAAATGACAAAATATTTGTGTATGTACATATTTAGTTTTAACAAAGCAACTTGTACACTTTCAGTGTTTAAAACTGAGCATCCATCTTTCCAGTGAAACAAACAAAAACATTTTTTTAATAAAATTACAATAGAGATTATCAATTCTAAACAAGATCCTACAGGTTCTGCTGATCCTCCCATCAGTGGGGCTCAAGTCATCATTAGGAGAGAATTTTATTTTAAAAAAGTCATCTTAAACTGCAAGGGTGTCCGTTAAACATCACAATTAAACATATCAAAGAAGCCGTTAGGAAATGACAAATTATTTTATTTTACCAATCAGAAATATAAACTGCTGACATCATAAAATAAAGTAAATGTTAAAAGTAAGTTTAAAATTCTGATCAGGTCTAAAGATCAGAAAGTGTTGCCTAGACAATTCACTAGAAATCTCTATGGATAATTTATTTAATATGGTAGCTATGTAACTTCTTTTTCCCCCCCCTCCAATAGGAGAACCTGACAAGGAGCTGAATCCTAAGAAGAAGATTTGGGAGCAGATCCAGCCTGATCTCTTTACTAATGATGAGTGTGTAGCTACATACAAAGGAGCTCCCTTTGAGGTGAAAGGGAAGGGAGTGTGTAGGGCTCAAACTATGACCAACAGTGGAATAAAATAAAATACTTCATTTACTGAACTACATTTGAGAAAACTTTAATAACAATAAAAAGAAATATATTTGTCACTTGTACCTAAAATATAACTGGCTTTATTGTGTGTTATTTCTCTTGCAGACTTGACTAGTCTTTTAATCAGGTATATATTGTTTTTAATCGGTTAGAGAAACACTACATTTTTACGTACAGTTTTTGCTCCTTTATAACATAGGAAGGAAATCACCTATGTTTTGTGATGATTTATTTTTTAGCAGGGATATTGGTTAGCAGATTGTTTTTCTTGATACATTTAGATAACTTGAACTAAATGAACATTTAGTTTCCTATTGGAGGCACATGGTACATGAAATTTTAAGCCCTTGGATTTTTAGTATATTGTGAATCTGTATTATAAATGTCTTCTCCTCTTCAGAAATGACAAGTTAGAATTTTTGTCAAGCTTATTAACTGGTCATATTGTAATAATACTGAAAATGACCAACGGTCATAAAAGCTAAGAGACGTGCCATTTGAACATTATTGCTATTGCTTACCAAAGTAATCAGACCTGTATATTTAAGGTGACTTTTTTAAAAGAATGAAATTTTCCACTGTGTACTGAACTTTTTCTTTCCATTTGGCAAAATAGTAATAAATTTCGACTAACTATAAAGAAGAAATACATTGCAAAGTGTTGCCAATGTAGTTTCCAATAAATTGATAAAAGCAGCAGTCTACTTTTTTTATTCTAGATGATTATAAAGATTCTTTGGCTACCTAATTAAAGATTATTTGTAGGTTATTTTAGAAGAGCATTTAAGATCGATATATTCTGCTTTTTCATGAACTATCATACTATTAGTATATTAAAAGAAATTGTTACCAAAGTCAATGTACATATATATTAAGGTGTCAAATGCCTATTTTTCACTCATCTTAACAGATATTGTAGAACAATGAAAATTAACTTAGGAATTAGGAGCTTTCAAGTTCACCAGCCTTGAAATGATGACTGATGATTTGGGCTACCGAAAAGAAATGCATCTGTGGAGGTAGAGTGTAGATACTGTTTAAAAGAAAAATTACACAATATTCCAGCTGTTTATAGCCTCTAATGGAGAAGCAAAACAAAAAAATTTAAAACCCTGCATGCCAGAATCTAAAAGGTATAATTAAATTTCGTTTATTGAAGTCCATGGAGTTCTGGTAGGCCAGTTTTATCTTCTTTCTGAAAAACTCAATAACAGCTGTTGACAACTAAACACAAATGAATGTCAGAAGTTATTTTGTACTGAGGATATATTATTCTTTTGGAAATAAGACTATGACAAAGTCTTGTGTTTCTGTATTTTCCAATTTTTCCCAATTATATTAAATTTCTTTAAATTAAAAGTTTCGACTCCTTAGGTAGTTGAAATATTTATTCCCATTTTTATTTATTTTTTTTTAAGGTTTTTTTTTTTTTTTTTTTTGAGAGGAAGAGGGAGATCACAAGCAGGGGAGGAGGACAGAGGGAGAAGCTGACTTAGCGCTGAGCAGGGAGCCCAATGCGGGACTCATCCTAGGACCCCGGGGTCATGAGCCAAGCCAAAGGCAGACACAGTTAACTGACTGAACCACCGAGGCGCCCAATTCCCAATTTTTAAAGTTACATAAAGCATTACTCAATAAAGTTATCAATGCAGTCCCATTATTATTCATTGTTTTTATAGAAAAATAATTGTTTGATTTGTATTGCTGGGATGAGAGAGCTCTTATGGAATTAACAACAAAAATGGCATTGTTCGTCAACAAGATATAAACCTTTTGACTTTGACTGGTATTCAGCCCTTTAAAGATTTCAACAGTAGGAGATGGTGTTAGGTCACAGCCTAAACAGTTGGTACCTCTTGACTTCTATTTATGTTTTGTGAACTAAACCAGGAAAAAAAAAAGTTGACCCTCCCCCAAGATGCTTTCTTATGCAAGGTTGGCGTACTATCTTACAGTGAGTGTTAGGAGTACTAACTTTTCTTATATTTAGAAATTCCATGTGTATTATTCTTTTGAGATGAGTCATTTTCAGGACCTGTTGATTTTAATATAAAATTAAAAGTTTTTTCCCCTGCCTTGCTCTTACCAAGAACATTAAGTACTCTGTGGATACAAGAACATTAAGTGCCCACCAAACAGATACTTTGTTGTTGCTTTTTAAAAATATGTAAATTCCTATTTAGACTAAAATATTCAAAGTAACTCCTGGAAGTTTAATAGCATGTCCGCAAGATAGAGGGTGTGGATAGGGCCCTGTAGAGCAACATTAGTGACTTTAACCAGGTTTCAGAGTCTTTGCCTTGGCTTTGCAGGTTCAGAAACCTGCATTTGTAGATGACTCTCAGAGATGCTAATATATCCATAGAGCTTAGTATTGGTTGTGAAGCCAAATTACCTAGTTTTGATTCCTGGCTCTACAACTTAAATGTGTGTGAGCTTGGGCAACTGCTTAGCCTTTATATACTTTACTCCCCTCGTTTAAGATGGGTATTATCTCAGAGTTATGTAGGTTGTGGAGTTAGTACCCACAGAATACTTAAAACAATTTCTAGGATATAATATATATTATTTTAATACCCATTCATGGTAGGGATGCTCCTTTTCCACAAACTAGTGTTCTTGAGATTTCCTGAGAAGTTGAATTCTTGTTCAGAACATTACATAGTGTATATGAAGCCCCAGGAGGCTGTGGCCCTGTTTCTCAGTAGACCTGATTGTCCCTCTGTACCAGATGTAGTATCTCTTACCTCGCTGGAGATGTTCCTTACTGTATTACTGAAATTTTCTCTTATCCACGTGCTCCCACTGAAATCTTATTTAGATATTTAGATACTGCCCATCCCTGTTCATCGATGCCCTTTGACTAGTTTAGTATTAATGATAGTTTTAAAAAGTTTTGCAATTTTCTTTTTTTTTTTTAAGATTTTATTTATTTGTTTGAGAGAGAGAGAGGGAGAGAGAGCATGAACAGGGGGAGAGGCAGAGGGAGAAGCAGACTTCCTGCTGAGCAGGGAGCCTGATGTGGGGCTCAGTCCCAGAACCCTGGAATCAAAACCTGAGCTGAAGGCAGATGCTTAACTGAGCCACCCAGGCACCCTTAGTTTTATAATTTTCTTAGACCAGGGAGACAATATTTTTCACTGTTGTGTTTTTAGTTTAATATGAATAGAAGCAATTCTATTTTTAAGTTCTTGGTCAGTAGGGAAGCACATCACTCTTTTTTTTTATATATTTATTTATCCATGAGAGAGAGAAAGGGAAGCAGAGGCAGAGGGAGAAGCAGGCTCCCCACTGAGCAGGGAGCCCAGTGGTGGGGCTCGATCCCAGGACCCCAGGACCACAACCTTAGCTAAAGGCAGACGCCCAACCGACTGGGAGCACTTCACTCTTGAGTTTAACAGGAGTATTAAAGGGACATGAGTATACCTCAGCTTTCCAGAGAAGTTTATATGTTATGCCTTTAAAAATATAAAAACAGAAATAGTATTAACTGTGTGCTTTAGCTACATAAATTGTGACACAAGTTCTGGTTCTAAGCGTTTTTGCAACAGTGTGAAGACTAAAACTTTTATCACCAAGATACCAAATAAAAACTAGGGAGGAAAATTAATGTAACTCAACTAACAATAATACTACAAATTGCTGTCCTGTGGAGAAAGCTTTACTCTCCAAAATTTCAATTGAGGAATAAACCATGCCCTTCAACAAAAGTTAGGGGGATGTATTAATAATACCTCTCTGCTCTCGTGGATTTTATTGTAGGATTATTATTAAGATATGTAGTGCTTTATAGCTAACAAGTACTTTTACACATCTTACCTATTTCTTAACTCCATAGAATTAGACCAGCCATTTCATTTTACCCCAAAGAACCAACAGAAAAGTTAAAAAAGTACCTGTGCTAAGGTATAACTAGCTGAAACCTAGATCTTCTTCCAACTCTTAGTAATCCTTTGCTCTTCTCCATTACAATACACTTTCTTCCATGTCCGTTAAATGTCATATGGTTTCTTTTATTTGGGTGAGAAGCAACTTCTTTGTTTAAACTTCAGGGAAAGATAGTGATAAAGTCCCTAAACTCTAGTAGTTCATGTAAGGAGATTAGGATGACTCCATTAATGGAGTATTTTAAGAGATTCTAAAGGTAGAGGCAAGATCGTTAAATATAAAGATAATTTATCAACTTTTTTCTTTTTGTTGCAGAAGTGTTCAGGAAGAACCTCTTGGTAAAACCAGGCTGCTGCAACTGGCAGCAATTGCCTTTTTAAGTAATGCACTGTTAAGGGCACTGATCTGACAGTCCATCCCAAAAGCCAACCTGTGAGAGAGGTCGCTAAGTTCCAGATAGATAGATAGATAGATAGATAGATAGATAGATAGTCAATATGTATTTATTTAATCTAGGAGCAATTCTGTAGTGAGGCCTCATTTGCAGTACTACTTGGATGATAACCCCGAAATGTGCAATAATAATGAAAAGAAGGATAGCTGCTCATGGCTAATATGCCCCTATACAAAACCAGATCTTCAGATACCAACTTGTTGGAATAGAAAAGAGTGACACATTCTTGCTTACTGTACTTTTTATAGTTACGGTTTTTCCTTTGGATAAGTCTTGGCAGAGGTAATTCATAGGGGTATAACTCCAAAAAACATTTGGAAAAAGGACCCAGAACAATGAAATAATTGCTGGTTTGAAAGTGAGCCATCTGGAATTTCAGAGGGTGAATTAATTATTGTACATTATATTTTTTCACCCTTATGTATTCCCTTCCTTACTCCCACCCCCTCAATACAGTATTCCCAGTTCTCTGGATTTTTGAGTAAAATATGTGTGTAAGTGTTATTTTATGTCTTCATCAACATATTTCCTATCTGGCAGGCTATTGATCTTAGCAACAGCAGCAGAAACAAGCCTGGGGCTCAATAATTGCAAGAAATCCTTTTTAATGAAGGAGCTAGCTACTCTTCTTGCCTTTCCCATTGCTACATAATACCTAATATTGTTCAAATAGTAATTATTAACGTCTGCTCATTTGTACAATGACATTTTTGTGATGGGCCTTCTTAGGAAGGCTACTCTAACAAAGTTTTACTTTTGTTTTTGTAAATTGCCTCATTAGAATATTATACATCCCAGTAGAGAAATGCTCTCAATATATATGCACCCACTTAACTTTTCAACTCTAAGATTGCATATTTAGCTGATACTTGTTAATTTAAACCCCATTCAGCTTTTTATACCTGGGGAATTTGGAAAGAATAGTGAGACAGTTATCCAAAATCAACACCACAATTTGATTTCTCTTTGAAGAAGATTAAGAAAAATGCAAACTGAAAGTCACTTTCAATAGGTTTAGCAAAAGAGAATGATGTTGGTAGAAATAACTTTTTTCTGTAACTTTAGTTTTCATATAAAAGAATAACATTTTCTCTTAAAACAGCACATGCTTTGAAAAAAACTTCAGGTGCTTGTGAAGACATAATTTTTTTTAAAGTTTGAGAATTTGGGAAATAGCAGTGCCACTTAAAAACATTAGCCTTTTTGTAAAGAATTATAATATGCCTGAAAATCAGTAGAACAGAATATCTAAGCAAATTCTTTATGGAAAACATGGCACAGGATGGATTTTAAAGAAGGTCTGAAATTGCTAATTGAGGTAATATATTTAGGAGAATAAACCTAGTAAAGGTCAGAG